AAATTAGAATATTATGGTATAATAGGCAATGTTTTAAAATGGTTGAAAAGTTATTTAACTAATCGTAAACAATTTGTTTATGCTGATAAATCATTTTCATCAAATTTGTTAAATATTACATGTGGAGTTCCTCAAGGATCCATATTAGGACCTCTTCTCTTCCTTATTTATATTAATGATCTATACAAAGCCTCAAATTTAATAACAATTATGTTTGCTGATGACACTAATTTATTTATGTCTCACAAAAGCATTCCTACTTTATTTCATAACGTGAACATCGAGTTAATCAAAATATCTGACTGGTTTAAGACAAACAAACTATCCCTGAACATTGATAAAACTAAATGGATTCTTTTCCATCCTCTTACCAAAAAACATAAACTGCCAATTAACATGCCTCCACTTGTTATTGACAATATACAAATTAAAAAAGTAACAGTAACTAATTTTCTAGGAGTTTGTTTAGATTAAAATCTTACATGGAAAAATCACATTAAAAACTTATCAAGTAAAATTTTAAAAAGTATAGGAATATTGTACAAAGCGAGAAATGTCTTAAATAAACAAACTTTAGTACAATTATATCACTCATTTATTCATTGCCAAATAAACTATGCAAACATTGCTTGGGGTAGTGCAAATAAAAACAAATTTAAACCTCTTTATTGTCAGCAGAAGCATGTAGCACGTCTTATATATTTTAAAGACCGTTATACTCATGCCAAGCCTCTTTTATTTGAAATGAAAGTTTTTAATATATATGAGATTAATATTTTTAATATTCTTTGTTTTATGTTTAAATGTAAAACCAATTCATCCCCGATTTCTTTCCATAATTTGTATTCATCAAAAGATAAAAATAAATACATTTTACGCAATAATAATTTTATTAAGCAGCCCAATTTTCAAACAAATCTTTTTAAATTTTGTATTGATTATTGCGGACCATTCTTATGGAATAAAATAGTTTTAAAAATTTTACTGAGGATTTTATTAATCAAAGTAACTACTTTTCTTTTAAACAAAAGCTTAAAGAACTCATTTTTGCAATCGATGATTTAACAATATACTTCTGATATTTTTTGTGATCTTTATTTTTACCATTTATTTAAACATAAACTTATAAAAAGTATATGTGTATCCTTAACAACTATAATTTACATATATAATAGATAAAACGCATCTTGTATTTATTATGGATTATTTTAAGTTTCTTACTTTTGCTAACTTATTTTTATTTTTTAACCTTGTAATTATCTTTTAAATTTTAACACGAACATTTCTTAGCGGTACTCGACGACAAGACCGTATGGTCTTCTACGAGTCCCCGCGTTCTTTTATTTTCTAATAACGACCATTATATTTATATATAAATTTATTATTAGATATTTGTATTTGAAATATTGTAACGAAATGCTTATTTTACATGTAATAAAAGAACAAAAAAAAAAAAAAAGAATTTCTAAAGGTCTGTTACAGACCTTTAGAAACTAATTACTTCTATCAATGTGTATACCATTGGTTTCTATCAATGTGTATACCATTGGTTTCCATCAATGTGTATACCATTGGTTTCTATCAATGTGTATACCATTGGTTTCTATCAATGTGTATACCATTGGTTTCTATCAATGTGTATACCATTGTGTATAAGTTTATAATCTAAAAATCTTGGCAGCTATTAATTTTGTGAAACAAACCTATGAGAACTTGAAGCAAGTTTTACAGTTACATTGACTTTGAAAATTTTGCATTGCAATTATAGTCCAGAGGGCACGCGTAATCCAAGAGACGTCCGTCAGACGTTTAAAGGACGTCCAGACTTCTTCTATAAAAATTGCCTAAAAATGAAAAAACCAGATTTAAAAATAGAGAGTTTATTGCTGCATTTAAAAATTAAATGACATCCCTGGAAATGTAATCAATTCTTGTTTTAGAGATTCTTTATTTTAATTTTGGAGAGTAAAAAAAGTTCTTATAATTTCAATTACTCCTAAAGTTTATGCTTTCATTATAAGCTTTTATAAGCTCAAATAAATGCTATATTATAAACAATTAGGATGAAAAGTGTTGTATTAACTAGAGAAATTTTTCTCCAACTCTACCAAAAAATTTTGAATGAATTTCAAAGTGGACAAGAATTAAAATTAGTTTGTACAGATTTCAACAGGCTGTTAAAAGCAAAAGCTTACAAATAAAATTTTATTCATCTAGAGTTCTGCAAAACAAAAAGAGTTATATGTTACGCATATTGCTCAAGATATTTCAAGTTAAGAGTGAATAATCAAGTTAATATTCCTTTTTTTCATTTAATAAAAGGAACTTGTCTATGCAGGGGCGTCCACAGGATTTTTTGATGTTTCAGATATGAAACTTTCTTGTATTGTGCTAATATTGTGCCCCTGTGTCTATGTAATCTAATGTAGATATAAAATGAATACAAAAATAACCTATTTTGTTATTATTGCGCAAAAATTTTCATGAAAAGATTTTATACACCAACAATTACGTGTCGCCCTAGGGGTAGTGGTTAGGGAGGAGTTGGTGGTTTTGTGACGTTTTTTATGATGCTTTTTTTGACAGCTCGTACTGGTTTAATTACTGTAGAGTTACAAGGTTTGTATTTGTAAAATATGCAATCTATATAACAAACATTTTTTTTAAAATGTCTTCTAATAGTAGGGGAGAGTTGCCGAAATTCGAGCAGCTCCTTAATTGGAACAACTAACTTTATTCAGAAACTGGAACGTATTCTACTATCATGAATACTTTTTCTTGCAAAGAAACAAAATTTTCTTTATTTTTTGAAAATTCTAGTATTAAAACTTAAAAAATGCGCGTACGTGAATAAAATTAAAAAAAAACTTTTTTAAATAAAACTGAAAAACCTCATTTTTTCATTAGATAATATATTGAGCTATTATTAGTAGTAAAAGTTAAAAATATATTTTGCATTGCAATTTTGTAAAAGTTTATTAATTTTTTTTTTTTATATCTTATATTTGTTAAATGCTTTTTTAAAGTTCTGACGACAAGATCCTTGCGATCTTCTTTCAGATACCTTGTTTATGTTTGTTATTAAAATTTTGTGCGATCTAATTTTATCGTTACATTTAAACGATTACAGAAGCTTAACGGTGTAGAGTTTAATGATTTTTTTTTTTTTTTAATATTAAAATTTTAAGGGTTCAAGTTTTTATAATATTAAGAGCTAATATCGTAAGTTATTATTTGTATGTAAATATTTTGCTACAACTGCATGGTCCTATGTTGCCCACAATGGAACTTCAAAAGTTGCCGTAATTGAAACGATGTCATCTCATAACAAGCTGACTAATTTCATTAGTCAGATATACATGTAAAACAACACAAAGGATATACATGTAAAACAACACAAAGTACATTTTAGTATTATATAGAGTAAGTTTTTTACTCTATATAATATTAAATACAGTTGCAAATTAATATTTTATAAGATTTGACCAAAAGCTCAGATAAATTATATTCGCCGTGGATATAATAGTAAAACATGGTTTATAAATCAATTTGAAAATTTAGGGGAAAAAAAAAGAAATAGTAAAAAAGAAGATATAATATTTGAGAATAAAAATAGAGAAAAAAGATCAACTTTGTCTCAGTGACAGGAAATCCAATTTTTGCAAGGTAAATTATTTAGTCTTCAATTTTCTGTTCTTCTTCGATTGTCAAAACGATCTCAGGACCAGGTTTATTAGTCTTGATGATACCAAAACGTTATTTCGCAAAGTTGAGTAAAGAATTGCAAACTTTGCTGCGGTTTCTCTGATTTATTTAGTTTTCTTCTTAATTATAACTGCTTCAGGCAGCTGGTCCAAAGTGTAACTCTTCTCTGAAATCTTTTTTAGAATTAAATTAGAATTAAATTACTAGAATAAAAAAACAATATGAAAACTAGTTTTTTCATGTTTTATTTCAAGTGATCCATAAATGTTTACTACTCATGAGAAAAAACACAAAAATGGATCAAAGTTTTATTGTAAAATTAAGTCATTATATTAAAAAAAAATCATTAATATGAAAAAAATTATTATATTAAAAAAAGTTATATTAAATTATTTAAAAATTATATTTATATTTTAAAAAAATATTAGGTTTTACAGGCCAGATAATTGAAAAAGTAGTTAAAAATACCTTTTAGCTTTGATTTCTGTCTTTTATTACTATCGATAACAAATGGTTCAAGAAAAAAAACATGTAATTAAAAACATCGCTTTCTTAGCAAAACAGTAACAACGACGTTTGAGCTGTTCCTTTTTTTTTTCTTTGTTAATATTTTTTCGGTTTTCCTTTTTTTTTTTTTTTTTTTTTTTTTGAGTGGTGACAATAACTATAACGCATTCTTTTTTTTTTTTTTTTTTTTTTTTTTTTTTTTTGTATGTATTTAGGTGCTCCCAGAAGTCCTTACGGTCTTATCATAGAGCACCGCGGGTGAGCATTTAACAGGAAGTTTACGCCTCCTTCCGTACCAATGTCGCTTGTTGGGCTAGAACTGGCATCGAACCTCGGACCTCTGAGTTCTGAGCCAGAACTCTAACCACTGAGCCACGGCTTCTAATAGTGCGTTTTTGTTCATTAATTAACAATAAAAACATTTTGAGTGGATTGCAATTAATTTTATAAGTAAAATTTACTAAGGAAAGTAAGACGGATCCATTTTTGTGGGTGATCCTTAATTGTGGGATAACTGTAAAAAAAAAAGGAAAGTTTCTTTAAATAATAAAAAAACCTGAAGCAAAAAAAATTATACCATCTTATTTAGACATAGTACGCTGATAAAATTATGCTAATACCAAATAAAAGAATTCGAATAATTACTACACCGACTATTACAAATGAATTCAATATTCAAGCACTAATTATATTCCGGTCAGGATTTTATAAAAAACGCGAAACCTAGATTTGCTCACTGGAAAAAGTTTTAACAAAAAGAAAAAGTAGTTTTGAGCAATGGCATTAAGCTATTTTTTCGAGAAGTTTCTCGATGGTTTTTTCGTTAAAAAAGATAAACTGAAGCAAGTCATCGAATTCAATTTAATAATCACATCGAATTTGTATTCGAAGGTAATAGTAAAACGACTTAAATATGGCTCTTTGGGGACAAGGTGATCCAAGATGGATTGTTGAAGAAAGACCCGACTCGACAAACGTGAACAACTGGCACTGGTAAAGTTAATACAAATATAACATTTTGTAAAAAAAAGTAGAAATTGAACATTTCATTAAAAAGTGTTAAAAGCAACTACAACAATATATTTACTAGAATTATAGTTGCATTTTAACAGGCTTGTTTTAAGTTACTAAACATGCGTACAGTCTATATATTAGGCAGTTTACTCTCTTATAACCTGACTAAGTGAGGGTGACAATACTATAATAGTTATTAATAATAACTATATATGCTGTCTAACAACACATATATGGTTTTAAAAATTTGTATTACCTGTATGATTATAGATCCCAAATACCTATTCCAAATACCTACTTTGGGTTGAAACCCAAAGCCTTAATCAATAAGTGAATAAAATTTATTTTTCTATGTTTAGTTTGGGTTTCTGATGTTTTCTATTCTGACTTTGCTTATCTGTATTTTTCTTTATAATATGAGACTTAAGGCTGTTTATTTTGTTTTAAAACTTTACAAAAACTACAAAGTCATTTGATATTTTAACTGTCAAAATATTTGACAACTTTTTCTGACTGAATCAGAAAATTTGAAGTTTTTTTTCAGGCAACTTATGTCTAGCTTTAAAATATTAGGTACGTGAGTAAAAATTTCAAATTGTTTAAATATTTTACTGTTATATATCATTAGAAAGAGGACCTATACAGTATTTTAAAATATCAAAAACGAACAATTGGTTCAAAAGTTATGACAGTTTAAGTACCGATTTTTTGATATATAGAATTGTTGAAGAAACTATGGTCAAAATTATGTTTTTCTTCATTTAAATTGTCATAACTTTATTAATTCTTATCAAAATACAAATATCTTGGTGTCAAAAGATAGGTGTAAGAGTAAACTACAAATTATTGTTAAACTCTGACCACCGGGTGTATCAGATGGACAGAGGGGGCACCAAACCACCACCTTACCCGTATGAAACTGAACATTTTTTTCATAAAAAAAAGTCTTTTTTCAAGACAAGTATTTTAAATATACAAAAACATTGTTATAAAATTATATTTAACCACTAGAGTATATGAGAGGCGTATGTTAATGTTGGAGGTGGGTGTGGTGGTGATGGTTTAATACACCCTAGTATCAAAAAGGACTTGTTTTCATAAATATTTTTATCTTTACTAAAATGAATTCAATTAGTATACAATATAAAATTATGTTCTACAAGACTTTACGTGGTGGAAACAGACAAATTTTTGTATGAATCTATAATTTCATCATAACTCAGTTTGGATAGCTAACGCTCTAACTTTTTTGCTCTAACTTTTTTCTTTTTCATCGATTTTTTGGCACTTGGATGCCTGTCTTTGGGAAATATTGGCTCTAATTTTAGCCTGATGCAATTGGTTGCTAACTCTATTTATATGCGTTACATGAGCTGAGCATTTAACAACTTTATCTCTCAAATTAATAATATAGAAACCTTACCAGTTTCAACAGATGACAAGGATATTAAAGATTAAATAATACAATGACACAAAAGATTAAATGGTACATGTAAATATTACATACTAGATATACATATAAAGTACATATTAAATATACAATAACATAGTACATATTAAATAGTACAATACTGCATAATCCACAAAATCAGACTATATTTCTCAATACATACACATAAAAATACACATTAATCTCTTACCGATTAATGCAGTAAGTGTTGCTAAAAAATTAAAAAGAAATAAGTAATAACAATAGTAATATAATGTTTACTAAAAGCCAACTTTAAATTACTTTATTATAAGATTAAATTATAACACTAACATTACAAAAAAAAAAAAGTTTAAATGACTAAATAACTAAAATATTTCAAACTTTACTTACTAATAATTTGTTCTAAATTGTCTATAGAAAAAAAATAACAATGATTCAATAAAAAGCATGAAACAATCAGGAATATATAAATAAACAACTGTAAAAAAACTTTGTGGATGCACAAAAATCTGCACAAAAAACATAGCATAATAAAGATATATAATTGAATATAGCATAATAAAGATATATAATTGAAAAAAAAACTGACTTAACCTCTCAAAAGTATCATCTAAAAAACAGAAAAACTTTTTTTAACAAAATAATAAAAACATTTGTCTAGACGAATTCGATTGATCTTAAGTTAAAAGAAACTAATGAATATTGAATGTATAAAATAACTAACTGATATATATCAGTGAATATATATATATATATATATATATATATATATATATATATATATATATATATATATATATATCATACATAAAAGTTGAATAAGGTTGCTAACATATATTAGTTATATATGACCATATTTTATTTATATTATTTATTACAGTTGAAAGATTAACAATCATTAAAAAAAAAGTCTAGTGTTTATCTAGACTTTTTTAGAAAAAGATGCATGATACAACAAGTAGTAGTATATTGCAATTGTTATTGGAGAGACTTATAATGTAAGATAAAATATGTTATAATATTACTAATATGTCAGTTACATTTTTAAAAAATTCAACTTTAAAGTAAGGAAACATTTAAATTCATTTAATAACTTTACATTGAAGGCAAATAATTTTTTTAAAATTTTAAAAAATAGGAAACAATATTAAAATCTTTTATCAATATCTCTATTATCCATTTTATTTAATCTAAAAAAGAAAAACTGAAAATTTTATTTAATCAAAATCAAATATTTTGGTACCTAACATTCAATAAATGTTTATTTATTGAAAATTAGGTACCAAAAGTGCGACAAAAAATAGACACCCTGCTACAACTTTTTTTTCAATGAAATTTTCCAGGTGCATAGATAAATGAAAAACTTAAAAAAAAGAATAGTTTAGAAAAAAAAAAATGAACATATCTTCGACATTCATTTCATGCCTAAAGTACAACAAAGTTTTAGACATCAAAAAACTCAATAAAAAAGCCATCTAGTAAAATAATAAACCTCACAGTAATAAAGTTTAACTATTCTATTCTCTAAAAATAATCTATATTGATATCAAATTTTATAAAAGTTTTTTAACTAAACATGTCTTCCCTACGCTAGCTAAAAAAAATCTAAAAAGCGTGGCACAGTTTTTTAGCACAATATTAGGTTCCGTAAAACGAATATTTCCACATACCTAAAAATATGCTTTGTTCATTAGAAAATGTATCAAACTTTAATATTTTCATTGCCAATATTTGTTTATCAAATTACATTTGTTTATTCAAAAAATTTCAGTGTTAAAGATCAATTTTATAAATAATTTTCAAATCATTAATGACTTAAAAGTTTTATTGATTATAAAATTATAAAATAATGTAAAGGAGTTGCATCCTTGAATAAATTCTGTCAAAAACATGCAGTTTGTGGACATTTTATTATAAAAGAAATATTACTATTAAGAAATATTAAAGAAATTGTTAATAGAATGCAGCAAACTCTTTAAAAAGCAAGATTAAGATAATACCATGCTACAACCTTTAAAAAATTTTATCATTATAGATATACTTGTCTTTAAAAAACTTCAAATAAATTATTGTTGTTGACACACCTCTGCCAGATGACCCTCATCAGGCAGAAATTTGAAATTTTTAGACTATGACTGATGGTGGTTGAATCAGATGTCTGGCACCCTTATTTTGAGCCTCTTCATTCATAGAATTGTTTTAAAATGTCAAGATTTGAAAGGATACTAATTATTTAGATTGTTTAAATATTTTATAATTGACTTATTTTATAATAGTCTTGGGTTTAAAAAGGAGCAAAATAAAGTACCTCATGCTCTGTTGCCTTGAAGGATTTGCTTGTTTAGACAAAGACATGGGGAAATTAACCCTTAATTAAAGTACCCCTGCCCTCTTCTGGCTCATTGTTGAGTAAAGACTAAAGATGTTGTTAATAAATACACTCAATCTAGGCCAGAGTTAACTGCATCCAGTTGCTATCTTATTAATGGCCTTCTGTTAACTAGCCCTGCACCACTTCATCTAATAGGCTGGCATAGATGTAAACCTGTATTACAATGTTTTTTGCCTAATCTGAACAATCCTGGATCTTTTATGACTCTACTCATGGATTTTTGCTTGTGCCTTCTTGCTAGTGCTATGAATCTATTTTTGTTATCTCCTAATAGTTCTAAAACTCAGTTTAATGGTTCTGAGACCAGCTGGTTATAAGGTTTCTTAAACTCTGTGGTGACTAAAAGAGTTTGGTTCCATTCACAACTGTAAAATATCAGAGTATCAACAGTGCCATGATGTGCATGGAAAGTATCAGTGTTGGTGCTTTTAGTGTGTATTGTTTGAGTCTTTTTGTTATGGCTTTGCCTTAGTTAGAATGGTGTCATATATTATCTAATTGATATAAGTTTTATATTAATTTAAAACATGAGTTAAGTATCTAAAAATTTTATTAATAAAGAAACTCTCATTATGATCAAATTATTTCCATGATCATTATTGTTCTCCTTTTTTCCAAAACAGCGCTGCTTTAGGCATTGTTTCTATTGTTTCTGATCAAGTTCATTAATCCTTTTTTCTTTATTCCTCAGTCAAAATTGTTGTTATTGGTGACTTAAATACTAATTATATTGCTAACACATTACTTTTCTTTACTTCCAGCAACTTTAGGGGACCAAAAAGTTAAATGGTCCTGTGTTGTTCCTCATCCATAATAATGATTTTCTTTTCAATCTTTCCTCTAAAGTTGCTCTATGTGCTGATGAAATAACTATAAAGAATTAGTAAGTGATGACAGAAGTCTTTGCTTACTCAATGAAAATAACTAGAGTCAAAACTCAGAAAATCATTGCTGTTGTGTGACTCCGAAGATTTTGACATGAAGTGAAATAAAGTAACATAATTAAAAGTGAATAGTAAGCCATTTTTCAGTGCCACATGTGAGAATATCAAAAACTAAAAAAATCATCTTATTTCCTTGAAACTTTCATATTTCTTAAGTTTATTGAACATAAAACAAGTTTGTCATATTGTTGCTGTTTCTTATAATGAGTCCCTCTCTTATTTAAATAGGGTCCAAACACGTATTTTAAATGATGTTAAACCTGCTCTAGCTGATAAGCTTGAGCCTCTGTCCCAGAAATAAGGTTCTATCTTTTTCTCTTTTCAATAAATACTACCATAGTTACTGCTCAAATGAGCGTTATAATTCATACCTGATTTAAAAGATTTCTCTTTAGGACTGAAAGAGATGCAACAAGCTGGTCAAAAATAAAGCTTAAAAATCTTTTTTCTGGTTTAGCTGCGGAAACTGATGAAGGTATTATTATAATTTCTATACTTTTTTTATTTCTAAGATTTTGTTTAGTCATCAACATTACAAAATCCTTACTAAACATCATTCTGATGTTATTTTATTTCAATAGGAAGTTGGAAAGTGGACAGTACTAAATCTATTGAGGGAGAAGCAACTATAAAGTAAGATGATCATTTTTTCCAATTTTTATTTTCTATATTATAACCTTTTCTATATTATACTATTTTATAATTGAGTTAATGCTGCTAGTTAATAACTCACTTCTTAATGCACTTCTAAAATAGCTCTTCAGTTTTAAATTTATAGGAGTTTTAATAAAAGATCTATTGAAATAGGAATCCATTTATTTTTTAATTGCCATTGTTATCATTGTCTATTAAAACACTGATTTCAGTTTTTACACATTTTAGTAATCGGAAAGGAAAGCTAATATATTTTTATGAATGGGTTATCAAGCTTGAATACAAAGGTAATGACTTTTTATTTGTTATGTAATGTCATATATCTGTTATTAATAATAAAATTATATCTGTACTAGATAATGCTGTTAAATTTGCAAAAGTTTTTAAATGATAATAACTTTTTTGATAGGTAAAGTTTCTGGAAGTGACACTAATCACACTGGTACTATTGAAATTCCACATTTAAGTGATGAAAATGATCCCAGTGAAGTTGATGTATGTTTGATATTGTTATTTGGAAAGTTTTATTGCTGAGGTTTGAATTACTAACTTTTGTTGCAAAGATTTAAAGGTTAGGTTTTGTTATTTTATTAAATTCTTTGTTAATAAAGTGTAATTTTACATTACCAAGGTGAATGTAAGTGCAACTGGAGACTCAAAAAACAGCGAAAAATTAAAACAAATAGTACGGACTACTGGCATCGATTTAGTTAGAAAATTGTGTTCTCAATATGTTTCTGATATGAAAACAGGTACTTATATTTTAATACTATATATCTAATTATACTTTAATAATATTTAATGAAATTCTTAGTTATAGTTGCGATAAAGTGTAATGAAATTTTTCTTTATCTAGAATATTCTACTGGAATGGTGCTCCCTACTAAAGATGGTGTATCATCTCATGTTCCTTCCGAAAAACCAGCTATCAAGGTAGTTTTTTATGCTGGTGGTTTATTTTCTACTTGACATTCTTATTACAATATTTGAAAGCTTATTGTGAGTTCTATTAAAAATTTGATATTTCTTGAATTTTTGAAATAGAGTAAAAATACCACTAACCCAACAGTGAGCAAAAGCGTACACTTGTCAAAAAAACTAAATAACTTCACTAAAAATATATTTGCAAAATTTTAAAATGTTTTTAATTTTTAGTATATGGAAAACTATAAAATTTAAAAAAAAAAAATATTTAGATGATTGCTCTAATGAGATATTTAAGTTCAAACAAAATCTAACCCTTAAAATCAAACTTTTTTTGGAAATTAGGTTTTAAAAAAAGTTATAAGGAAATAAGATTTTCTTCAGTTTTCACCTTAAACCGGACACGGCTAATCCACCTTACAATCAATTTAAATTTCATAGGTTAATCTTTTATTTTTTCACTCTAATTGAATTTTTTCATTTGGTTTTTTTGAGTTTTCAAGCTTTCGTGCACTTATACTGTTCAAGTTAAACTGTAAAAGTACACAAAGTAGCCACAAAATGCTTTGTTTCTTTAATTTCAAAAATTTGTAACTGAATTGAATTTACAAAACTTATAATGGCAAAAAATAAAACTGAGAAAGCCATACACTGAGAAGAAAATATTTAATTGGAAATGATGAAACGTGTTTGTTCAAAACTAAAATGCCTGGTCGCAAATGGTAGAAAGGATTTATAAGTTGAAGGCACTCAGAACTAAGCGAAAGAACAGCTATAAAATTGCATCTTTAAAAGCAGGGTCATGCACACTAGAAATTATTACCTGTTTTTTTGATGTTTTGAAAAAACATTTTGATTTAGCAAAAATAGATTTTAGTAAAGCCATGCATTTGTGGAACTGTGATGAAACTGGTTTCAATGGTGACAAAGGTGATGCGAAAGTAATTACCAGAAAAGATGCAAAGCATCTACTAGTATTAACTGGAAATAACAAAAAAATAAACTACACTGTTCTTAATTGTGCTAACAAATCTGTTCTTAATTGTGTTAACAAATTTGTTGTTTACAAATCAGAATCAATTCTATGATGATTGGATTAAAGGACCACACCAAACGCACTTTACACAACATCACCATTTGGTTGGATGGAAGGTAATCAATTTTTGCAGTGGTTCAATGAAATGTTTATTCCTCACATTCAAAAAATTGATGGTCAACATATTTTACTTTTGGATGACCACACCACACACGTGTCATTTTGGATGACCACACCACACACGTGTCATCAAGTGTAGCCTTAGAGTGTAAAGAAAACAATATAACACTAATTTGCATTCCTGTCCATACATCTCACATTCTGTGGCCTCTAGATGTTGGTGTGTTTGGCCATTTTAAAGATATTTGGTGTGATATTTTAAGAAAATTTTATGCTGAGAGTGGTTTTTGCAATTTGTCTAAAAAAATTTTCCCAATTCTCCTTGCACAGTTGTATAGAAGCAACAAAGCTTACACCTGTACTCAAATTATTGCTGGTTTTGAAAACACTGGGCTCTTTCCATTAAAGCAAGACAGCATTGACAAATCAAAATTACAAGTTCGTCAAACTTTTAATAATGCTTTAATAACATCATCAGCAATTACAAAATCAATACGCAGCCCAAGTTCTTTGCCTCAAACTGCTCAATAAACAAACCTTAATTCCGCCTTCAACTTTAATTTCAACTTTAAATTTAACTTTTGTATTTTCATACTTATATCAAATGAGAATGTTTTGCAAAAAGTTGAGGTGATTGGAGCTTGGGGACAAAAAAACCCGAATTTTCGGGCCCACCCAGCCCTTAACGTGGGAGCAACAAGTTGATAAAATAATTTCTTTATTATTTTTATCTAAGTTTATATTCATCAACAAATTTCAAATTTCATGCAATAACCTCTTAGTTTTTAGTTTTTATGACCCTACAAAGTTTACAGCTCCCTCAAATTGAGGGGGGTTAAAACTTTATATGGTCATAATTTTCGAAAAATTAGAAATTATTGGATGAAATTTGAAATTTGTTGATGAATAAACTTGGATAAAATACTAAAAAAATTATTTTATTAACTTGTTGCTCCCACGTTAAAGGCTGGGTGGGCCCAAAAAATGGGGTTTTTTTGTCCCCAAGCTCTTATCACCGCAACTCTTTGCAAAACATTCTCATTTATCATAAGCATAAACATACAAAAGTTTAGAGTTTGCACAATACCTGTAAGTGTCAAAACTCAAACATCTAAAAGTCCAATGTACACCACTGATATATATATATATATATATATATATATATATATATATATATATATATATATATATATATATATATATATATATATATATATATATATATATATATATCAGGGGCTATTCTAGCCGCCTGTTCAACTTTAATTTTGTTTTGTATAAAAATAAAAAGTTCAAAAAATAAAGTTTATATACAATACTGAATTTATTAATAACTTTTAGAACAACTAAAATGATTAGAAAATAAATGCACATAAATTGTCGGACAAAATGAACAATAGATGTAATTTTTTACCGGACAAGTGCCGGACAATATCTGATGTCCAGCGCTTATTTTAAGCCCAGTATATATATCTACTATAGCGTATTTATGTGAGTACTTGCTCACTTTTTTTGCTTATCTAAATTGATACAGCTTTTTAAAAAAAGAAAACAAAGAATAATGAATGAAAAGATTGCTGCCCCATGCATAACCTTAAGTTGATGTAGCAGCACTCTGCTGTGAGTCAGCGTATTTGTCAGTCGATGTATCTACTAAAGCCTTCATCAGCAGGCTATTTCAGTATGATATCACACTGCTCACCTAAATCAGCAGTAAGATATATTACAACACATATGTATATATTTTTTTCAATTGCCCACACAATGTCACTGAGGCTTGCATGTCTTTAAAAAAGGTTAAAAAAAATGTCAATGAACAAAGTTATCTGTGTGTGTTAAAAGATACATTAAAAATGCATATAAAAATTACCAAAACTAGCATATTTTAGCAAGATTCAGCACCTTATCACAAAGCTAATGGGTGAATGTTTAGCATAAAGTTTACAGCAAAATAAATGCCGATTTCCTTGACTTTTCTTTCAAATATTGATACTTGCTTTAAAATTTTAATATTGAACAAAAGTTTTGCTCATTTTAACCATTTTATTTATTATTAATAAAATGCTTTGTTTGCAATTTAAATAAATGGTTCATTTTTGGAATTTAAATGTAAAGTTTATTTTGGCATTTTATTTTAATTGTTTTATTAAGGATTTTTTTTAAAAAAGTTTGCTTTTCCATTTTGATTGTAATTTGATGGTGTAAAGGCTAAGTGGACTAACCTTTCAATTTAAGGTTTTTATTATTATTGTGTTTCTGCAATGATTTATTTATAATCAAATGTACCTATGTAACCTGTTTTATTTATAACCAATCCATCAACAACATAGATTATTGTTAAAAATTATTTATATTGTATTTTTTTTATTATTTAATATAATTTATAATTAATTTAAAAAACTTTCTCCTGAACAATTTCGAAATTGAGGTTAGTTCACTTGCTCTTAACACCATCCAATTATTTTTATTAAAATTTATATTAAAATTAATAAATTTTAATTATTAAATTTTATTTTCTAATAATTAATTTAATAAAAAATTTTATATAATTAATTTAATTGTGTTTGCACTTTTCAAGCGGGTACTCAAATACCAATCAAATACTATATTGCGTAGCGATTTCAATTAAAAAAAAACTTTAAAAAACTCAGTTTTTTGAAATAAATAAAGCCACAAGTAAAAAAAATCTATGTTATTAATCAAATCTACGTTATTAATTCAAAACTATTATATAATAAAAAAGAAAAGATATAAACCATAAATTAAAAACTTATAAGCCTAACTTCTATCAGCTAATCTGGACCATCTTTAGAGAGGGATATAAATTTAGTGTCTGTTGCATGCGCATATTAGCGTTTAAGGAAAATCTAATCTATCTAATATAATGTTTATGTTTCTATGTTTCTAGTCAGATTTTTATTGATAGTCTTCCCTTGTTTGATTTCGCTCCTATAATCTATATATTCATCTATTCATTACTCTGCATTAAAATATATTTTACCATTTATTTATTTTATTCCTTTCAATAACCATTTCTCTATTTTTAACTTGACAAAGGTTACTTGCTTTTTTTGTTTGTTTTTATCTTATTAATTTATGCAAGATTACATAATTCTTATAAAAATAGCGTTAGAAAGACACTACGCTATACATCACGAGACACATAGTCATCCATATTGTAATTATTCTTATAATAGTTACTGCTTTATTGTTAACTTTTATTGTCATTTTGTCTAATTGTATAAATACTCAGATATTTTTCATAAATATATATATTTGTTACATTGGCCGATTATTCAGTGAGTTGATCAGAAAAAACAATAATCTTTGTAGTTTTGCTGCAAAATTTTATTTTATGATGGATTCGGATAGTGGTAGTGATGTCTTAGCCGATAATTTATCACAAATATCAAGTGATGCTGAGTTTTGTGGCTTAAATAGCGAAAGTGACAAGGAATTGTTTCAAGTAAAAAGCAGCAGAATCTTGTCAATACCATCTAGCGAATGTGATGATGAAGTAGCAGACTGGTCAAAAAATGATAATGCACCTTTAATCAAGCTATTCATAGGAAAAAGTTTCTGTTATGTCAAACACTTCTGAGTTAATGTGGTTCAGCTATTTATTGGGGACAATTTATTTGAATATATGGTGACCGAAACAAATCGCTACCATGCACAAAATGTTGAGTGGAAAGATGTAACTGTGTTAGAACTAAAAATGTTAGGGCTACTTCTATTTATGGGTAGAGTCTGCAAAGGTAACTTCTACTTATGGGTAGAGTCTGCAAAGATATTGGTTGACAGACAAAACAATTTGAACTCCAAGTAATCAGGGATTGATTTTGACAAATATGGTATCCATTGCAATTTTCCGATAATGCTGATGGAGAGGATAACGATCTCCTTAAAAAAATCTGCTCTGCTATTTTTTACTTTTAACATAAATTTCAAGAGGTTTACTAACCTCAGCGAGAATTGTCTATAAGTCACCTATCCTTCCAAGTTTATAATGCTTCAAAAATAACAAAATATGGGATTCTTATAAGAATGGTTTGTGAAGATAAAACCAGCTATTTTTGTAACTTTCATTTATACTGTTGAGAAGCAAGTCGATTATAACAAATAATTTTCTGCAGCCTTATTAAACATATGACTTAAATACAGATAACTATTATAATTGTGTTGACACTTGTGAAATATTTTTACAACATAGATTCTGAACATGTGGCACAAACAGATGCCTTTCTCCTTTCTTAAAAAAATGCAAAACTGAAAAAGGGGAATTTATTTTTTTGTTATTGGCAAAACATTTTATTACAATGTTGGTAATCAAAAAAACCTGTCTGAATGATTTCAACAATACATTCAGCCCATATTGTAAAAAGTCACGATATTCATTGAGTGACAAAGGAAAGAATTTTAGAGTATTTATCAATAGATTTTTATTTTTTGAACAAAATATTTGTAGATAGTTTATTAAATAGTTTTATTTAAAAATATAAAATAATAATATCTAAAATATAGTTTATAATAAATAAAATATCAAACATCATAAATGAAATATAATAAATAAAACATAACAAGTAAATATACTATAAGCTTTTTCTATTCTTTTTTTTTTTTTATTAAATTAAGTTTATTAAAAGAATTTAATTGAAATTTTCATATTTATTTCATTTAGAATTTAAATTAAAAGCTCTTTTTTCTGTTCAGTTTTTAAATAAAATGTGTGTTGCTGTTTTTAGGGTTGAAAATTTCTGGAAATTTTCAACCTTAAAAATTTGATTGCAATAAACTTATAGTTATTATATAGTTTTATAAAATTCATTTTCAAAAATAGGTTTGATCATGTTTTAAAAATGTGTTACAAAAAATATAGTATACTAAAGAACCACAAGCAAAAAATGCATATCTTTTAGTTAATTTACTGTTACTTTTACTTATATTACTTTTGAAGCTTTGTGAAACAACAAAAAGTAGATGTTTTCTGACTTGTGTATAACATATTTCTAGCTTATACTTCTCTTATTATGTAAAATATTCACAAAATACACAGAATAAAATCTTTTTTTGATTAACAAGTTTCATTGTGTATTATTTTTGTAGAGTCTTTTAAAGAAACAATGATTTTCATGTGTAAAGATTGCATACAATGACGATTTTAGGGGAGGGGATTTTCTACCCCACAAATCGGCTAGTCGGGTATTTGACACAATTCAGTCGGGTTAATTTTAGATTTGAAGGACCTTATTTTTTTTATTTTTAAGAAACCAGTGGGTACTTTTAATGGATTCAACAAAGTTGTGGTGAGTGAGACTCAAGTCTTAAAAGCACTTATTTAAACATAGCGGTGGAATTTATTGCTAACTATATTTTTAATTAGTTTAAATTTAGCAAATAAATTTTCTTTTATTTTACCATTCATTGATCAATAACGTCTTTAAATCAAGAAAAAATTGTCAAATACTATAAATATTCAATCAAATCTTTTTATATATAATTTTACAATTTTCAGTAACTTGTAGTGATAAAACATCTTTAGAAAATTTTGAAAACAAATTATTATAGTTGCTACTTAAAGTTATAATAAAAAAACTCAACAAAATACCAAAAAAAGTGGTTTTCGAAGAGGGCTTTCTAAAAAAAATTTATCTACTTCATATCTACACATAAAATTATTCATAACATTGCCTAAATAAGACATAAGTTATCATCTTTTTTTATATCTTTTTCCCATATTGAAAATTTTGGGGAAAATATTCGACCCTAGCTGTTTTATTTTAATTATTTTATGTCTGTGTATATATGTATATATACACACTAATTGTCATAACTTTTTTCATATAGGTTAGTGAATGTATGAAGGGATTAAATGTAAAAGAATGTAAGTTTTTTTTCAGATAGTAATTGTTATACGTTTTAGTTCAGAGATTTGCAATTTTTATTTTGCATTTGATCAAATACTGTTAAAGCACTGTTTTAGTAAATGACTGGGGCCCAGGCCCTGTCCCCGGGTAAAAATGAGACTTTTTCGAACTTGACGCTGGCAAAATTATTTAGATTTAGATTTAGCAGGGGTTGATTGCCGGGGCCTAGGAAAAAATTTATAAAGTTTTATATATTATAGTTTTATGCTTACATTTACTATTTATTAAATACTGGCAATTATATATTTTTAAAATCAAATTTACTTCCAACAAGATTGCAAGCAACCACTATTAAGTTATGAGTTACTTTAAAATAGAGAATAAGTTAAAATACTAGGAAACGTACAACTGAAGGCTTAAAAGTTGTAAAAAAAAAGTTGTAGGTTGTTTAAAAAAGGAAAACATGAAGATGGATTAGAGTTATAAGGTTTTTTTGATGCGCAAAGAATAAAACTTTTTATAAAAGTTTTTATAGCATGAAGGGACAGATACAGTAAAAGATGCAACTTGTTGAATAAAATGCCAAGCAAGAATGAGTTTTGGTTTATCCTTATAGAAATGATAGCTGGTGGTTTGAGCATTGACCATGATTGTATTTGTAAAAAAAAAAAAGCAGGTCTTATTACATTTACAATGTGCTTTTAGACTTAGTCTGAGAGTAAGAGGGTTGTTATTCATCAATGTAGGAACGCCAACATGGCATTATTTTTAATATAAATGTATATAAATATTTAATATAAATGTATATAAAAATTTTAATATAAAGTATAAAAAAATTTTAATATAAATGTATATAAAAATTTAATATAAAAGTAAATAAATGAGTTTTGTTCTCTGACAAAAATTGTGGATTTTAAGTCCAGAATTTAATAAGCCATTGCAACCCTTAGGCTATTACAAAAAGCAATCAAAAAGTTGAGATTTTTAATCAAGACACGAGTATAAGGTTGAGTTGTCAGCAAATAAAGCCACTTTAGATGTAATATTTTCATGAAGATCGATATTGTAGATATGAAACAATACAGAAGCAAAGACCTTGTGGTACCTTTAAAGTTACTTGAAATAAAGTTCAGTGTAGGCTTTCAAGAATAACTTTACTAAATCAGCTAGAAAGAAATAATTTTGTAATCTTAAAACATTTATATAAAGAAACTAATAACAGAGTGAAGACTTACCGTAGGATCATTGGAGAGGTCAAAGTGTTTTCTATAGTTTAAAAAAATTGGAACCACTTACTTTGCACTTTTTAAAAGTTTAGAAAAAATTGAAGAGAGTTCTAGAAAACGCTTTTTAAAGACTATGATGGAATTCTTGTCTGGAGCACAAACTGAAGTGTTTAATTGAGAATTAATTTTGGCATTGGGAGCCAGAGTGATTTGGTTTAACTGGCAGGAAGAGTGTGACCATTATATTCAAGAGTCAAATTAGAGTAAGATTTCTTTGCAAATAACTCAGTTTTATTCCAGGGAGAAGTAAAAAGATCAGACCCATGAATTAAAGATTAAATATTAGACTTACTTTAGTTAACCACATTGTTGAAAACTAACTAGAAGTCTCTAGAACCTAACATCTGAGACAAGATAAAAGGTTTAGTAAACTGAGATTAACAGAGCATTTTTTTTTTTTTTTTGTTTACATCTGACAGGACTTTTTTATATTGGCCTCTTGGAATAATAAAAGGACATTTGTTAAAAAAGATTTAAAAAAATGTTTAATATTTAACCCTTTAACAGTCCCGGGTTAAAAACGGTTAGTCCAGCTTTTTTTTTAAATTCATCGTGTTTTTTAACTAATAGAATAAAAAATGTTTTTTACTATTTTTAACATTAATAAACACTACAAAATGTTATTCAAGTTTAAGAATATATAAATCATACTACATAAACATAAAAGTTTAAAAATGCATTCACTAATATTCACTTATTGTATGATAATTGTAAAAAGTAAGGAGTTGCCTTAATGCCCTACATCACAATCTTTATATTCATATCCTGAACCTTTTTGATTATTGTGTTTGTAACATACCGCATACCACCTTTGAGCATTAATCTTTTATTATCATTTTCAATAATGATCCATTAAATATATCTTTTCATTATTGATTCATCAAATGTATAAAATTCTATCTTTTCTTGAGTAAATGTTTACTTTTTGATAATTATTTTTGCACTGAAAGGAACTTCCTTATTTGTCATATTTAAAATTAAATTGAACACGTTTAAAAGACAATTATTGAAACAAAAGCCCTGTAATTATCTAGTAATAACTTTTGTGACAAGTAGATGTATAATTACTGATGAACAAGAAGGAAATATAAAGAGATGCACAAAACCGTAATATCACGGCATGGACATTTAGAAACCACTTTTAGTTTGCATAATATTACGACATGGACTGTTAAGGGTTAATAAAGCAACTGCTCAAAATGTTGAACAATATGGAGTAAAATGAGGCTTGACTTAAAATTGAAGAGAAGGAATAAAAGCTTCCAAGATTGATTCCATTATTCATACATATTATGGATATTGACACGTATGCTATTTATTTTGATGCTGGTATACAAAATCCTTTCATATTTTTATAAACTTTAGTATTTATATGGTGTAGTATTTGCCAAAAGAGATGATAATGATGATCATGATCATGATCAGATGATGATGGTAAAGATAATTATGATGATGATGTTTATATTTGCATGTATATACAAAGTATAACACAAGTTTTGAATAAAAAAAAATACTTTAGGATGTATAAACGTTTATGCAGCCCCGGTCACAAACCCAGCCCCGGCTATATTTTATTAAACCTGGCCCTGGTTAAATGTCAACCCTGGTCGTTTACTACACTGTTTTTTGTCTAGATGATCTTTATGACTCCTGTTTAATTGTTGTTTGATGTATTGGTGAGAAAGTAAAATAAACTATTCTATTATTAAAAAAATATTAAAATATTTTTTGTTTTGTTTGATTATTATTATTATTATTTTTTAAGCACTGACAAAGAACGTTTCACACCATGTTGCTTTAAATCTTCAAGAAGAATTTCAGACAACAGCTGAGGAATTGTATATAACATTGACAGATTCTCAGGTATAAAAAAGTTCACCGTGAAATAATTCATGAAGTATTAGAAGGAATAATTCATATAGATAAGAAATATTAGAAGGAATAATTCATAAAGATATCAAACAATCAACTTATAATTATTACTTTTTTTTAAAATACAGCGAATATCGACATTTACAAGATCTCCATGTACTTCCAACCCAGTAACTGGTGGAGAATTTTCGATTATGGGTGGAAATATCACTGGAACTTATGAAACACTGGTAACTTATTACTTTAAATTTTTTTCAATAATTTTAAGCTTAATATTTCAATATGACGTATATAGGTTTTGAATTTTTGAATTTTTATCCAACAATTTATATTTTGCAACTATGCGTTTTTAAATTCAGGTTCCTCATACAAAAATAGTCCAGAAATGGCGATTTAAAGAGTGGCCTCAAGGTATGGTTAGTTAATACCGAGGACGTATGAATAGATTTAACTTATTGTTCATTGCGTTTAACTAATTGCTATCTAAGACAGATAATTGAAGTCTAAGCGCATTTTAGCGTTATGGCTAATTTTTCATAACATAATCAAAAACTAAATAAATTTTTACCATATATTTACAATGCAATACTTCGCTATGCCGGTAACGCTTGGGTATAAAAAGACATTTTAATTAAGAATATATTTTGTGATCATAGGTTTGTTTTGATGATCGTTGTTCAACTATTCATACGTCCTTTATAATGCATACGATTTGTATTTGCTTTTTTTTTTTATTTTTTGAATTTTTTTTAGGTTTAAACTCGAATGTTGTAATTGAACTCGAACAAAAATCTGACTCAACCTTACTCAAACTTAAACAAACAGGGGTTCCTGATTACGATATAGTTCGCACAGAAGAAGGTTGGAAAAGACATTTTTGGGGACCTATAAAACAGGTTTTTGGATTTGGTGCCCAACTGTTTTAAATGCATTAACTTCAAAATGTGGTTAATGAAATGTTACGTTGTGAATATAAAAAAATATACTCCAATAGCAGCAGTAATGTCAGCGTATTAACTTTGTTCACGAATCGTGTAATATCGAATTTTCTAATTGTTAAATTTGTTACATAATGTCAAATAAAAAATGTAATATCAATTATTTTTTTTATTGATAAGTTTGTTACATATTGTCAAATAAATATATTTATTTGTTTTAATTTTTAAAAGTCCGTAACAGATAGATGATGTGGTATAATACATATATATTATTGTCAAAAAATGTTTTGACAGAAGTCTTGAAGACGGCTCAGGGCAACGACATCAGTTTTTGCTATGTCTAATAACATCTGTCCAACAACTTCCGTAATATCAGGATCTATAGTAGATCTGTTCATCAACATCTGTAAATACACTGAGGTATTATAACATCTGATATTTCATTGATGTCGAATATCATCTGTGTTAAAAGTATATAGCTATACAGATGTAGTTACATCTTTTCAATTATTTAAGTATAACAACATTTGTGCAACTACAGCTAGAGATTAGAGTCATCTTTTCGATGTTAAGAATAACTACATCTGAATTCTACAGGTGTAATTACACCTATTTTATTGTTGAAGACATGTGTTAGCGTTATTTCATAAAGAAAAAAACATTTTTAATATCAACATAACCTAGTAGGCAAGCTATACAATTGTATTCTTTCTAAAAACTGTCCTCTTGGGCAAAACCGCATGCTTTTAACATTTTGCAAAGTTAGGTAATTGCGAATAACAACAATTACAATTGTCCCACTTGAATGTGTTTATGTAAAAACATGAAACGAAATAGTTTTGTTGTGAGACTTTAATCGGTAACTGTTTCCTCTTACCGAAATAAACAGTTACCGATTAAAGAATTTCGTTTATAACAATTATAAGTTCTATTTTGTCAAGTAAAATATAGCTAGTAAATTTCTACAAGTAAAGACACTTAATTTCTGCATTTTATAAATGCAACAAATTTTAGAGGTCGAAAGAATCAGTTATTTCTCACAAACAACTTATAAAGATAAAAATGTAAACTATATTATTGAAATATATTAAATAAAAACTAGAAAAAAAATTAACAAATCAAATATGTTCTGAATAAAGATTTAAAGACATTAAGGACATTTACAAATAGTAATATAAATAAGCTCGACTTGAAGTTTACATTGCAACCAATAGCGACAGAGTATGGGTTTTCCCCTCAAAAAATACTCTGCCGTTATTGGTTACAACGTAAAGTTCAAGTCGAACTTGACTCAAGTTTGCTTCTTGCATTCCACCCTAACTTGAAAACTTGAGTCTAACTTGAAAACCGGCCGTTTTCGAGTTAGACTTGAAAAACCAACTTGAAAAAACAAAAATCTTTTCCGAATGCAAGAAGCAAACTGAAGTGAGTCAAAGAAGTCTGACTAAAGTATTACGCAAGAAACAAACTTGAAATAAATTCTTTCTTGAAAAATCTGATTTCAAGTCGTTTTTTTATGTTAGCTACCTAGTCGGTAGTACCGACCAGTCTTGAAACAAAAACAAAACAACAACAACAAAAAAAAATATTTATTTTAATGTCATAATACTATATGTAAAAAGCAAGAGAAAAAATTAATTTGTTTTGTATCAGTAGTTGTATCCTAAAAATGTACTATCAATTTTTACGTTTTTTGAAACTTAAATAAATTCCAAAATTGCATTATCCCAATAAAATTTTAAAATCGAATTAAATAATTTTGTGGCAATATTTGCAAAACGTAGTCTCTTGTTAGGATATTACAATTTATTCAGGCCAGTTTCAAAAGTCTTCTTTTTCTCTCTTATTAAAATTAAAAAAATGAATAGGTTTATTTAGCCAAAATTAATTGTTTAAATCATAAACTTAATAAATGCAAAAAACTTTTTCTCTAATTCATATATTGACCAAATGGCCACACTCTTCCTGTCACTTCAATGATACAAGTCAGCTCCAACTGAGGGGGAATTTTTTTCAAAGCATCCATATTTGACAAAAGTTTAAACATATAACTGTTTGGAGCTTGCTTTAAAAGAAGTTAGCTATCTCAAAGACCATAAAATGCTGGATCTATCAATCTATTGCTGACTTGTTAACCGTTGTAACAAAAATAAGTTTTGCTGTACATTATCAAACTTGTATTAACCATTTTACTGATTTTGTTTTCTATCTTTATAAATATAATATTCGTCCTGGTATTGAAAACTGTTTTCATATTTTTTATTTAATTTTTTGTTAATTCCAAACGTAATTAGTGTTTGTAAGAGTTGTGAGAGTTTAATTTTTTTTTTAATTTTTATAAAAACTTTAACAAGAAAGTTGAATATTAAAAACTCCTATGCTTTGCTGATAACCGCATAGCATATATGCATTCTGAGTGTTAATCAGCTGTTACATCGTAGTTAGAGGCTTGGACTAAATAGAAGGTAGCTCGAGCATGTTCATTTTAATCCTGTGTTTTTTAATAAATTACCCAAGTTTTAATAAAAACTCAAAAAAATAAATTTATTATTTTTGTAACACTTTTTAAATTTATTTTTGTAAGTTAATTATTTAAAGTATAAAGCTGAGAAAAATTATTTAAGGAACATCTAGCAGAAATTTTTTTTTGAAATATACATTTCTTGATTTTTAATTTATTTCTTTGCATAATTTGGAAGTCATATAATTATCGTTGTAAATCATGAAAAGACACTTAAAAAAGTGGGGAGTTTACCTAGTCAATGTATAGCAATCTATAAAATTATGGTAGGATAATAATAATATAAATAATTTATAACAAATATTTAAGAATTTGTACCTAACGAAGCTCCTCTATGATAACAGTTCTTTTTTTCTTGTAATAAACGTTTTGTAAAATACGTATCCAGTTTTTTTTTAAAGTTGTTTAATGACGCGGCTATTTGGAAGTAAATTTGGAAGTAAAGATAGAATTTGGAAGTAAATTCAAGTCAAGTACGACGCGATTGGTGAAGAAAAGTTCTTGTTGGGCACAGTTAGTTACTGCTTTGCGTTGAATTCTATGACACTGCACTTGGAGGTTGTTTGCAGGTTCCTATACACTTAACACTGCAGCTAACTGGTTTGGTCTCTTGAGCTCAACATTGTTGAGGCCGTGTTACATCTTGAAAGATTGAATGAGTTCACCTCTTCACCTTCTATTCTCGAGAGATTGAATATTTATAGCGATTAGTCTTTGAAGATACTTTAAGGTGTGAGATGAGGCACGAACTAAGTGGCTCTTTATTGCCTTGGTTTAAGAGCGTCCATATCTTGACCATAATAAGGATTTAATGCGTCGTAATTTCATAAGTTGTATTAAGTATACAAAAACTCTTAATATCCCAATAGTGGAAGGTTTTTTTTAAAATTCCTAGCACCATGTTAGCTCTGGCAACAGCGTCTGCAACATAATCCCCCCACTTAAATTGGTTGTTGACAATGATGTGGAGCTGATCGCGCTCATAACTGGTCTCACTAAGGTTGTGGTTGTTACCAAGGTGGTTGATCATGGTAAAATATTTGTGCGAACCCGTCAATAAAGCCTGTCAATAAAAGCAATGTTATAGCAATTGTTAATTCTTTTGACCAAGAACATAGCTTTGCACTTGTTTATATTAAAACTCATGCTCCAGGTATGGGCCCATTCGAGAAGTTGGTCAATGTTATTTTGGAGAGTTTGATAATCGGATATGTTCTTTATAACCGCGATTAGTTTTGCGTCGTCGGCAAACAGCTTACAAACGTGACTAATGAGGCCTGGTATGTCGTTAACAAAGATCACAAAGAGGAGAAGCGCTATTATAGAACCTTGCGGAAGTCCACTGAGAATCTCCAGTCAATCAGAGAAGTACTCACCTTGTACAAATTTATCTAATAGCCTTTTTAGTTAAGCCATGCAGAAGACATGCATTTGCTTATGATTCTTTTTCGTGCGAGCAGAATGCTTTATAAACAAGTTTTTTGACTTTGTGTGAGGCTTTGTTAAGGTACTTTTGATCACGTGGTACTGCCTAAAGTCTGGCCAAAAAAGTCAATTTATCTTTTAACTTCATTGTTTAGCAATACTGGGTCGGGTTTGATATGGATACGGTTGCGGCGAATTGGAGTGAAAAATGATACAGCGGCGACATATATTTCTAAAAGACGGGCATAGCACTGCTGATTTTTTAAAATACAAAATTTATAACTAAAGATTTAATTTACGACTTTAACTGGTTAAAATTTAGTATAAATAAAAAGAGTCAACTTTCCAACTCTCTTTTTAAACAATCCGAATCATTTACCTTCTTTACTCAACTTATGTCTTATTTCTGATCCTAGTCAGTGCTCAATAAATAAAACAATAATAATTTAGATTAAATTATTATTGATGGTTGTCTTTTTAAATTGGGACAAAATAACTCCAAAATACGGTAAAAAGTAAATTTATTTTGTCATTTTAAAAGAGCTTCTACAACTTGTCTTCCACATCTTGTCTTTCTTCAGATAATCAATTTATTTCTATAGCAATAAAGGAATAAATTGATTATCTGTAGGAATTCTATTGCAATCCTATATGTTCTTTAGGATTTATATATGTATCCTATAGGTTCTATAGGATTCATATATGTATCCTATAGCTTCTATAGGATTCCTCTAGGACCAATATGATACCTATGAATCCTATAGAACCTATATGAATATGAATGTAATCTCTGCAATTTGAAAATATGAATCCTATTGTAATCTAATTATAAGCCCTTTTAGATTCTATAGGCTTTTAAATGTAAATTACAACTTTCTCACTGTAAATTTATGATCAACTAAAATTACAACACTTTTTACAACTAACATAACAATATTTGTCGAGCCAAATTTAAAGCAAATTAAAACCTAATGGAATAAAATATATTCCATTAGATTTTAATTTGCTTAAAATTATTTTGCGTTTAATAACAAAACTTTTGATTAAGTACTTTTTTTTGTTAATAGCCGTTGTAGAATTAAATTTTTTTGTTAATAGGCGTTGTAGTTTAGTTCGATCATAAATTAAATTTTTTTATAATAGCCTATGACACTTCGATAAGCTTAACTTTAAAAATTTAACTTTATCTTATTATTCATGGCTTTAAAAATTAA